TTCAATTAAACATTGGTATAGATATACAGTTATATGCATTACATGCAATTATAAAATTTAGCTCAAAAGAAATTGAGAATTTTCAGTGATTGAACTGAAGTCTTCTTAGTTTTCCTCTCACAAAGCTTTGCAGCAGTTAGTAATGCTTTAAGTAACTATTTCTTAAATGTGAAACGCACACAGGTACAAATGTCTTCCTACTTGGTTTATCCAGGAGAAATGCAGAGTAATTTTTTGGCCAAGGTATACCAAGATTTGTGTTTCTAACTCACCAGGTGGTTCCCTTTCAAATCTGCTTTTGTTCTTCATTTTTTCTCTTACAAACCTGTAATTTTTAATAGAAATGGAAAGAAAGCGTGTCATGGGAACAGATGAAGGTGGACTTCTAGGTGTACAGATACCTGGCACTGAGTAAGTGCATAGAACTTAGAGAAGTGATACCAAGCCCTTGACAAAGTTGAGGGACATTTCTGCAGTACTGGGATAGAAACATATTTTCTCAGAATTTAATTACGGAATTCTGTGTGGGGTTAATCTGGTTTCTGTAATGATATTACGTTGCCGCCACGTGAATTCAGTTGGGATGTTGCTTCACAAGTAGCTTTTATAAGACTTAAATTACTATTCCAGGTAAGAAGCCAAAAGTACATAACGAAATATCCTGATAGAGAGGAGTGTTAGACTCAGAGAACTCTTCTCTAACCTCCTCTTAGCTGAGAATTCATCATTTGTATGAACTGCACTCTTGGAGTTATCTGCCGTCCCTCTCGAGGTTAAACGAGTGCTCAGATGAGCCCCGTGAAGCTGCTTCTTTCCAGAATGCAATTGGTTCTCTATCCAGCAGAACTGAGAGGTCTAATTTCATGCCTTGTGTCACCTGAACTCCCCAATAACTCCCTTCCCTCAGTGCTTTTCTCTTTACTGAGCACGTCAGGGCAGGTCGAGACCTGGCTGCTGATGAGCCTCTGTGTGTTGTGCTTCACTCCCCGTGTGCTGTGCTGGACACGGGGTGGGCAGCGAGAGGGGCTTGGAGAGGGCAAACAGCTGAGTTTGGCAAAGGGAGCTCACTGGGCCTTTTGCTGGTTTTATTGCATTCAGGGAGTGGGGGATGATGGTGTTGAGGGCTTTGATCCTATCCCACTACAATTTTTTTGAGTCTGGTGGGATCTTTTTCTTCCGTTTAACTTCAGTTGAGAGGATGCAAAGTTCAAAATCTTTACATTTGTAGCAATGAACAGATGGATAGGCAGGCAAACAGGGGTGATTATCTCCAAGAGGAAGTGTTTTCCAACTGCCTCTTCTATAAATGAAGTTATTACTGAGCCTTTAATATTTATTTATCTATTGGAATTATCAGTGTTAATATTAAGTGACTTTTATTTCACAAATAAATGCCTTACAGATTAGGTCCTATATTTCTCTTTTTAAGAGAATATTATCATCTTTCTTATGGATGTTTTTGATGTTTTCATGAACATTTAGAATTTCTCTGGTTGGAAGGAGTGGTGTTATAAATTATCCTTATAAATTCTCTGATTTTTCTTGTGTTCCCAGTTTACAAAAAAAAAAAAAAGCCTCAGCTTTTCTCCTCGATCAAATATTAAAGCACACACCAGGCTGCAGTCACATCTAAACTTTTGAACTGCAGGTTTTATTATTTTGCTCTTTGGAGAGTGTCTGATTTTATAGAATTGATAGCAACAGTTTAGCATGTCCTGACATCCTTTGGGAACAGTGGTGTGCTCAGACAGATGAGGAGTCGTCTGAGTTTATGAGAACATAGTCACAGTCTAGCTTTGGAAATTTGTCTTTGTGCCACCAGTGTTTTTCAAATTCTATAGAAATGTCTTTGGGTACTCAATATACTCTCAGAAAAATGGAAGGCATAAACAATTGGGTTTTTTAACGTGTTCTCAACATTATTTCACTGATAGCTCAGTTTCAGTGTACCATTGCTTCAGAATCTCAGTTTTATTACAAATTAGAGCGATTTAAATTCTACTCTGTGTGAATGGAGTCATCTGTCCAAAATGGACTGAGCTGGATCCAGCTTCTGTACTCTCTTCTGATAATAAAGGCGTCCCTCTGCACACTGGCCTTTTACCATCAAGCCCCTTTTATAAATCCCTGTGCAAGAGAATGAAATTATTCCTGGCTATTGATTGGAGGCTGTTAGGGCCTTAATAATAACAACTTTCAGTTGAGCATTTCCTTCCCTTTACCTCTGATACCTTTGAGCTATGCACTATAAAGGACGATCTGTACTGCAAATATCAGACCTTTTTGCTGCAGTTTCCAAAAAATTTAAATGAGAAATTATCAAATAAGTAGTTTTTGTCATTATGTCTTGAACACATAAAGCAAGTAAAGAACAGTTGATTTTTTATATTCATAATATTTGTGTGTATATATATGTACATGTATATATGCATACATACTTCTTATATGTATATGCTTATATCTTATAACATTATATGGTGATTCTGTTTCTGTTTCTTTGAATATCAATGGGAATTTTGCCTTGACAGTCTCTCCTACCAGAAGTCTGAGTGACTGTATCTTAACTGCTGACTGAGAAGTAAAGCTTCCCATACTTGCAAAAGCCTCCATGTGTGACAATGAAGCATTGAATCCAAAATAACCAGCTGTGATCTCATGGCCTGGTAGGAAGGAAGCAGGTTTATAAAGTCCTGTAGGCAGTTCTATTACTTCATTTGAATGTATTATTTTGCTATATTTGAGTTTAGAATTTTTGAATTTAATGAGTCACGGGTAACATTACAATGTTCAGAGCACTGCCATCTCTATAATGTATATATCTACAGCTGTGAAAGTCAGTGGGAAGGAAAACTAGGCTGTGTTGTGTGATATAATGCCAGGATCTGCACTCAGTCAGGGTTAATTGTCCTGTTTTGTCCGAGTGTGGTTCACTTGGGTAATTATGACGAGCAGTAACTAGTACTCAAATTTCATTCTCATGGTTTAATCATAAGATTCCTGATTCATTGGCACTGTAAACAGTGATGCAAGCTAACCTGTATTCTCATTTACCTTCTTTTTTATGTAACTATCTGAATAAAGGGCCCTTTCAAAGACAAAACTGCTCTGTAATACCTTTTTATTTTCTATAATCTGGCATTTTGAAAATTGTAACCTTTCTTTTAAAATCTTATAGTGGAAATACATAATATCATACTCATTACATGATTTTAGCAATTACCTTTTCAGGAACATGTATTTACAATATTCTTAAAGTCAAATGTCACAGTATAACCATGTTTCATACTCTTGAGCGTTTGATCCTGCATACATCCTGCTGAGTATCCATCAAAGAAATTCTACCAGCACAGATTGATTGATCCACATATGCATTCAAAAACTTTTCTTGTGCTTTGCTGAAGGGTGTAAAGGTACATTTGCCATTGGGAAGATTCTGGATCGTGTCAGCATTGGCCAGTTAACTTCAGCTGAAAAGTGTCTGTGATTTTTGGCTTGCAGGAATCACAGTGTCATAAGATTCTAAACACAAGGTCCTCCTTCAGTTTTAGCAGAAACAACTGAGGGCAACCAGTATCCCCAGCACAGGTGATATGGTAGGGCCTGTCTGAACTGCAGGTTGGTGGTTGCTTCACATCAGTGTCTGGGTCCCAGAACAAGAGCTGGCAAGCTCGGGAGAGTTGAATGCTGGTCTCTAGGAAATGCCTCCCTGAGTTGGGGTACTCAGCAGAAAGTCTACAGATATTCAGACTGAAACAATACTCTAGTGGCAGCCCTGTGGCCAAGGTGGGCCTTGTTCTTTCAAGGTGTGTGATGTCAATGCCATTTCCCTTGCTTTCTCAGCTCAGACCTCATGGCTTGAGACAGGGGAACACCGAGATGTTCTAAACGTCTTTGGGTGCAGGCTGTGGCATGAGATTTAGATGTGCACCTGTCAGAAAAGAGTGCACTGAAGAAGTTTGCTCCCTTGGATAAAACAAAGGAAAGAAGGTCCAAAGAAAGTTGGTGTTTCCAAAAGAATAAGTGGTTGGTATGGTCAGCCCTGAACTTGTCCTTTTTGCCACAACTTCTGAGTACATAACACAATAAGCTATCATTTAATGTTAAATAACCTTTCCCAAATTCTCTTGGAGAGCACTTGACAGTTATGAAAAGCACCCTTTGTCCTATAAGCAACCACTTTATATTTCTGCACCAGAGCCTGTTCTGCAAGGCACATTTCTGTACCTTATTTTTTGTGCTAATGTAAGTCTTTGCTTTTTTTTCTTGAAGGCAATCAGTCCTGAAAATAATGCTGAAATAGGTCTCCAAATGAATTCTTTCCTAGTGTGTTTGAGAATCACCACAGTAGGCAAAAGCATTTGAAGAAAAACTGCTCTCAAAATAGCTCAATTAAGAACAGTAAAGAAATTGTACTTGCCTATACAGTGACTGCAGTCCTTCAAAATGGATTATCCTTGTAGATCAGGTGACTAAGTAGTCACCTTTTTTTTTTTCTGTAATTTCCTATATTCCTTGGTAAAAAATAAGTGGTCAGAGTAGTAAGTGGCTTCAGCATATTGTGGGTACTCCTGGTGAGGTGAACTCAGTTGTGTGTTTCTGGATGGGGTGGGTACTGCTGGCAACAGTTCCCCTGTCTCTGGCACACTTGTGTACAAGGCACACAGGGACTGCTTGTCTTTGGAGGATCCCAAGTGCTCTGCTGAGAAACAACCTTTCCTCAGCAATACTCTGAAACGTTGTGAGGATAGTTTAGAATTCATTTATATTATATGATTTCACTAAAAAATTGCTCGAAATCTTGTAGTGTAGTTGAAAAACTTCCAGTATAGAGGGTATTGAAATACATTTTCCTGTCTTTGATATTTTCTGTGGATATGTGCAGTATTTATCACACTGTGCTTACATGGGGCAATACAACCACACAGTGTTTATATAGTTCCTTTCGCTTTTTACATCACAAAGTGGTTTTTACAACATTGTTCTTTGTCTTCTTTTTGTAGGCATTTCCTGTTTAAACATGGATCTGGGTCTTCAGCCATCTTCAGCGCAGCCAGTCAGAACTATCCCTTAACATCCAATACTGTTTACTCTCCACCTCCTAGGCCTCTTCCTAGAAGCACCTTTTCCAGGCCTGCCTTCACTTTTAACAAACCTTACAGGTGTTGCAACTGGAAGTGCACAGCTCTGAGTGCCACTGCCATCACGGTGACCCTGGCGCTGTTGCTCGCCTACGTTATTGGTAAGCCCCACTTCCTTCCTCTGCTGAATTATCCTTTATCTTCTCTGTTCTGTTGTCCTGCCTTCTTTACACTAACACAAATCATGCTTTACTATTAATGTTTTTCACTGGTGCTTTGTAAGTTCTGCTTAACAAAACACCACGTTGGCCAAAGGTTGAACACAACATGGAATTCTCATTAACTTTCTACTCTGTTGACCTTGATGCTGCCTAGCAGAGAAAAAAATATTCTTCAAGATTACATGTTTATACTAGCAGAGGACTCCTACTGATTTTAATTGCTGTGGTATTTTCTTAAATTAAACATTTGATTTTCATATTAAGCCTTAGAACATTGTTGCTCTTAAAGAATTGTCTGGAAAGACTGGTTATGTTTGATGGTATTTAGCCTTGCTACCTTTAGTTCAATTCTTTGGTCTCTTCACCATTTAAATCTTTATCATTTTTCCTCTCAATTATTATATCATTGGCTAGAATGACAAATAGCTCTAAAAATACATAGGATTTTACACCATGTGTTCTAAGATACATTTTGTTATCACTTTATTGAATTCATGTTTTTAAAAAAATGTTACATAGTACCTAACTGTAATTTTATTAGCAAAATATATTGGCAGGATTTATTTGAGTAGCTCGAAAGGGCTTCCTGGGGTTTGTTTTTGGAAGACAGATATATTGAAGGTGGGCTTGAAATCAGTGTAGTTACAATGTACATAGGGGAGTAAGTCTCTGTGATTTACTACATGACATTTTGCCTGAACAGTAATTATCACATTGTTTTTTCAATCTGAATTAAAAATATTAAAGAACATTCTGTGTGTAGAATCTTAGAATGTGACTGTGGCTTCTGTAAACAGAGGAAAATCTAATTATTTTCTGTCTCACACACACTCTTTGTTGGTTTAGATGCCAGTTGAGAGGTGGCAGGAACCAGAGTATCCCTGACAATCTTATCTTATAGTTTGAATGGGAATAACTCCAGGTCTGCCTGAAAGAGTACTTGGTAAAACTTGACAGACATCCAAATACAGATACTTCCAAACCAATAAGTGGCCATTGATTTTCTGTATTCTCTGAATAAATGTCTGTATAGTGAAATTCATTACAATTGCAGTCATTTCTTGTTTTCCACTGGGTTGGATTTTTTTTCTTTGCCCCATAGTGACAAAGTTTTGGTTACTGTCAGCAAGAGGCTCATCAGGAGGGATTTTTTTCTAACATCCTCATCTAATGCATATGGGAAAGCAGATTTGATCATTTCTGGTGTATGATGATTTGAAAGCACCTGAGGATCTCGTAAGCTCCATTAATTGCAGATTTACATAACAGCTGGTGAGCATATGCCCTCGGTTAGGACTGGCTGTATAATTTTTGCAGCCTCATCTGTTTGCTACACATATATCCCACCCACACCATTTAGACTTTATCTGGATGAAGCACTGCCTGTTTCATCCCTTTTTTAGATTTCAGTCTGCCACTGAAATTTCTGTAACTTTCCAGGGATATACTGGTGCATGTCATCGGCCTGAGAAGGCTGGAAGCACTCCTTGTCACCATGAATTAAAAAAGCTCTGTGTGAATCTCCTGTAGATGTGTCTGTGTTGGGCGTAGCTTGGTTGCATAAAGGTGTAACATATTTTCTTTAGTTAGACAGAAGCAGGTAAAATAGAGATGTCTTTGCATTTTATAAATTATTATTTTTTCTTCTTAAAATACAAATTTCTGAACCAGGAATTCTCATTCAGAAAACTTTCAAGGCACCATTATTTGCTCTTGTTTGTCCCAGACATTTTTCAGTTGCATAAGCTTTCCTGCAGATTCAGGTAGTATTAGTTAACTTATTCCAAGTTAATATTCCTGCTTCCCATCTCTGTTTGGTTAAATGTTTAAATAAGTTTATGATCTCTTCTTATGACTCAGGTGGCTTAGTTCTTTCCCTTTGTTAGGTATGAATAATAGCATATAAACTGTTTTCAAAGTTCACTGCTCTATAGGCTTGCATATTTTTCACTTCAAAAATTGAATGTCCATGTTTTAAATAAGAGTTGAATATAGAAAATCAGACTGTGTGTAACACTCTGAAGTTAAAATTCATTCTTTGCTCACCATGGTTCAGGTCCCACAGTCCTGTCTCCAGGCAGGTTTTCTTCAAGTCAAAGAAAGTTGTTTCTGAGCAATCGCTACAGACTTGGGTCCAAACTGTAAAACAGAACTCATTTTAGTTTTAGCACCAAACTTAGCCTTTGTAAAGGCAAAATTGTTTTCATCATTGTATTTTTGGCATAGCCTGCATTAACTTACGAGCTGCAATTTCGGGCCAACTGAATACTGGTCTGTGTTGCTATATAGTGTATAAAATACCCTGCTATTGTGTAATGTTATTGTAAATATTCTCTTTTTTTTTCAGCACCACTCATTTTCTTTAAGCCAAATAAAATGGTTGATGTGGCTGCTCACCTAGTTAGTTATTTTTAGCCCATTAGCAAGTTGGATTTTTCTTCCATGATACTTTCCTATTTTATCAGCAGCTGATTTGGACTTGCAAATCACTGGTCCTATTGATCAAAGGTGCTGAACTCCTACTGCTCCTATTGATTTCAGCAGGTGATGCAAATGTTCAGTGCCTCTGAAAATTGCATCTCATGTTCTTGAATTTAACCATCCCTGACTATGAAATGGGTATTTTATATACAAATGTATTCTCAAGTATGAATATGAAGTTGTCCCTATCCTTCATGATGTTATCACTATTTATGAGTATGCATTGGAGATGGGTGTTGGGTCTTAAATTATATTCACATGGAGAGTAAGGAAATTAAAGCCTCTCTGCTGCCTGCCACTGTGACCTGCCATTTCTCACTCCGTGTACAAGGTAGAGGAGTGATGGTTTCAACATTGGGAAGGGCCAGGCCAGATTTTAAGGACAGATGTATCTCAGTGGATAGATTTATAATGTTGGTTGCATAGCTTTAAACAATATAAAATAGTAACAAAAATAGAAATTACTCAGAGAAGGCTCAAGGGGAAAATATGCTGATTTACACTGGAGAATAGAATGGTATAGTAAACAATGCTAAATTTCAGGGTTATGTAAAAGCTGTGATGCAGATGCACAACCCTGAAATGTCATTGAACTCCTTAGTGGGAGAACTCTCCCCGGGACAGGTTCATCAGGGTCTCACAGCTGGGAAGCATGGTGGCTGCTCTCTCAGATCCTGGGTCTTACTGAGAAATTTGATATTGTCACAAATCTCTAAGTACTCAGAGGAGGAAGTCTGACAACATCTGCTGTTGTCTAAGATTAGGTTTTGTTTGTTCCTAAGTCTAAAATACAAGTCAGTAATGAGAAATGAAACCATCATCCCTTTAGGAGGATTGCAGGAAAGGGGGAGTATATTTGTATTTTCAGGTATAAAAATATGTTAACTATAAAGAGAAGAATGCTTGAGAAAGAGGAGAATGCTGAGGGTTAAGATGGCTGTAACAAATATATGGAAATTTTCAGATTTGTTTAGAGTAGAACGAAGTAGTATTTTCTTTATAAAATGAGCTTACAGAAGATCACCCCTTCTGTAGGTCAGGATCAGAACTTTGACTCTTATTTGTGTGCAGATATTTTCACATTGCTTCACCTTTACTGGAACTGAGACACCAATGCATCCATGGCTTCATGCCACAGTAAAATCCAGTTTTATAAGCAGAACCTACTAGCAGTTACAGAAACAAATCCTTTTCTGGCACTTAGTCAGAGCAGGTGCAGAAAGAGTAGTCAGCTGCTGGTATGCAGTCTATTACAGCTCTTCTAAAGTCTGGGCTTCAGGGAGATGATCTACTGAGATTCTGTAAAATAACTGGAAACAGCAGAGAAAGCTAAATAGAATCCTTGAGTGGAGGTCAGCAATTTGGAGGGACTTCACGTTTGCAGGACTTTTGTCCTCTGAAGTTCAGCTCGCAGGTTGTAAGTGCTTATTGCACAGGACTTTTTTGACGTCTCCTCACTACCGAGTGTCTCTTTTGCACCGGAGCCAAGGCTCTTATTCATATTCTGCCAAACGTGTAGCACCGGAGTTGACAAGCTGTGCTTACACAGAAGGTAGATAAGAATAAATTAAATTAGATCATTGGCTTCGTAGCAGATGGTGGGTTAATCCAGTTTACAAAGCGAGCGCTGAAAAAATTGCTTGTATCTTTGTGAATGTTTATTTACTTTAGTGTGCCGTGGAATTGTGGGGAGTGAGGTAGACAATCTGGAAGTGTCAGTTTGTTTTGTTTAAATGTTGAATAAAATAAGAAATCTGGCCATTTACTTCAGAGGTAAAGACCCAGGCTTTGGTTCTAAGCATGACCCGACTGGTTTCACTTTCAGCAGTAACATGAAGCAACCAGAAACCTGCCTCTGGATAGAGAAAATCCCTTGGGCAGCATAAAGTAACACTGGCTTTTTATCTCTTTGTTCCATGAAAGAAATTTATGGAAATGGTAGATGATGTAGGCCTTTAATATATCTTTTTCTGCAAGAGATCTGTTTTATACCTAATAATTATTTTTTACCTAAGAAGCATAATAAATTACCCAGAAAAGCTCTGTACTACGTGTAGGATCTTCTGTATTGGAGAGAGATTGATCATTTAAAATTACCCTGCGTGGCTCCACTGTGCAGCCAGGCCAGGGTAAGGTGGTTGAGGAAGAAATTTAGGTTCACCATAGTCCTGTGGCATCCTCCAGTCTCTTCAGATCCACTGACTACAGACTTCTCCACATTTAGCATCTGCTATAACATCCATAATGCATCTTAAAAATAAAAAAAATTTTACTTTTGAGTTACAGTTTTATCAGAAACTTTGAGTTAAACGGGGCTCTCTAATAAAATATTAGTGAAATATAGCTATGGTGGTATCCATCCTATAAGACCTATCTCCAAACATTATGTAAGGAGGATCAAATTTTGCCTTCAGATACGTTTTCCTGCCTCCAGATCACCTCAGTGAAAGCAACATGCAGCTCTGCTCATGGCAACATGCAAAACAATTGCATAGAGCAAAGTAATAATGTAAAGATAGACAGGGGGATTATACTGAAGGTTCAAGCAAGCCAAGAAAGAGTACCTTTTCAGATAAGCTTTGCAGTAGGATAGAAGAACCAAGGAAAGAGACAAATCAATTTGGAAGTTCAAGAATGCTGGGTAAAAAAGCGCAGTTGCTACCAGCAGGGAGAATATTGCACTCAGCTGTCAGAGGAGAGGTTCAGCTAGGCCAGCTGAGGGGATGTCAGGGATTGATGCTCCTGCTGACTCACCACAGCTCCTCCTAACAGAAGTAGGAATTTTGCAATCATGCCAGCTAACAAGCTGTTTCATCTGCACTTGCCCTACCAGTCCTTGGGTTCTGCCTGAAACTGTAGCAGTTCACCAGTGACCTTGTGCACCCCACTAGAAGCTGAAGTATTTTAGGTGCTGCAAAATACAGGGTATGTGATTGCAGAAATTTTTTGGTAAGCCAGACAGGCAGAGCCAAAGTAGCTTTTGCTTTTTCTGTAATATGTGTAGTCATCAAACCTCAAAGGCTGTTTTGTGTTCTGTGTGAACTTGAGCTACATCATGTAATGCATCTTTAATCCTAGTGGTGGGGTTGTGTACTGTTAGTCAGCAACCAGCCCTCAAGAGTACTGCAGTCAAGGTCTTCTTGTGTAAACATCAGTCTGAAAGGCTGAACTCTGAGTAAAGGGCAGAGGCCTTCATCAGAAAGTGAATCTCTCTTCTTTTTACCCAGCTCAGTGCTAAGTTGGGCAGAGCGATGGTGTCATCTTCTATTTGGTCTGTGGAGTAGGATCTTATAGCTGGGCATTACACATGGGAAATAGAGCTGAGAACCTTGCAAAGGGATTTATGCTGTGGGAAATGACATTGTGGCCCACAGTTGAATTGCATTTTCTGTGCCCCTTTGTGCAAAAGGGGAAAATCAAAAGCCAGAAATCCACTAGAAAAATCAAAGAATGACTCAAAAGAGAAGTTCTTTTGAGCTTTTTAATGACATTCAGTACATGCCTACTTATTTCTAAAGAGATTTGAGAGACAGAGATTTGAAAGTTTTATGTAATCTTATTTGGTGAAATAAGTGTATATTTAAAACATAGTGTACATATGTTGTAGGAAACAAGATTTGTAGGAATTATGTATACCCTAGGTAAAAAGAAAAGTATCACAGAAAATGAAGAGACAAGGTAGGGCTCTGTGTCTACTAAATAAACATTTATTATTCCCTGTAGTTAACTTCTGAAAAAGGTATATGTAGGAATGAATGGCTTTACTGGTGTATGTGGTCTGGTTAGTGTCAGAGTGACACCTGGATCTGAAGGTAATTTCTCGATAGCTAAAACTAACATAATAAAAATTGGAATGATTTTAAGACTGCAAGGTGACCAGGTTTCTGCAGTGCTAGAAGTCATTCAGTTCAATTCAAGCAGACCTTATTTTCACAGCAATGTGCTTTGTTCTTCAGGCACTCAGTTGTGCCCATTTTTTTGCAAATCTGGCCCACCGGTGCCCCATGTCACCTCCCACGGACAGCAAGTCCGAGGCTGGCAGAGACCATCATTATCTACAACGCAGTTGGTGTTTCTCAGGGAGGAAGCTGACTGTCAAACATAGATACAGATACTTTTGCCAGCTTGCCAAGCTTTGGCACGAGCTATAAAAACAACGGCACTTCCTCAGCCTGAAGGAAGATGAAGCAAGTAAATGACTGGAATTGGTGCGAGTGGATGACAACAAGCACAGTGTGTGTGATCTGGAAAAGACAGGCAGTAAGGAAAAGGTGCAGTACACATTCAACCCTTGCTTTGTGACATACCCTCTGCAGCACATGCAAATGCTGTCTTGGGAAATGATGTATGCAGTTGTGTTTTGCTTCTAGTGTTGATCTGTTTGAAGTGCTGATGTAATTATTTGCATTAGTATAAATGAAATGTAAATTCTTTAGTTATCAGTCCCAATGAACTTTGTTCCCTTTTGTTGTTATTAACTCTTTAAATGATAATAATGTCTAGAAGCTCAAGCCAGGAGCAAGAACATCTACTCTAGAGATGTAAAGGCACATTGGGTTTTGTTGTGTCTTTCATATGTAGAAGTAATCTGTCTTGCATTAAGCTCAAAGCTCAGACCTGAGCTCTGTGTGATCTGACTGCAAGACACTTTTCAAAGTATTAGCACGGTGCCTTGGTGATTTCAATCCTGTAGAATATGAAGTAGTCCAGGCAAGTCTCTGGCTTCAGTTCTCACAACTGACACTGGAGTAAGCTTCTAATATCTCTTCTGGGGAGTGGTTATCTGCTGCCTGGTGATTTGTCTTCAGAGCCCAGATCTGATGGTGAGTCACTGATTTGAGAATCCAGTAAATTTGGCTTTCTTCTTCTGAAGCCAATATAAAAAATATAAATGAGTCACAAATACTGTCACCTCACTAATTTAATAGTAATGCTCTCATTTGCTTCAGTTGGATCATGTAGCTGTAGTTGTGTGACCCAGGAGTGCACAGATCTGGAATTAATGGCTGTAGATTGGCAGCTTTACATTCCTGTGGTAGTTTTGGCAAGCCCTTGCCGGGAATCCATTCAAGGCTTGGGATTTTGTTAAATTTTTATACTTTAACTTTTCAGCATGCAAGGGAGGCTTGTGAGCAAACATGTGGGAAATGGACTGCAGGTTTCTCAGTTGTCTTGAGATTTTTTCCTTGAAGTATGTGCAAGTGCAGAATAAAATTATGTACTTTCTTAATGCAAGACCCATTCTAGATCACACTTCTCCTGAGAGTCTCTGAGGTTCCTCCATGATTCAGGAAGAGCAAATATATTGCCTTTTAGGCTCCCACTGTGGGCAGATCCTACTCAGTGCAAATTGCTGCATGTGGCTAAAGAGCTGCTGCTCGAGCTTTGCTCTTTATGTGACAATTTCAACTCCTCAGTGGGGGTGATCCTCAATTCATATTTTAGTGGGTCATCTGTCCTCCCCGCTGACTTACTTCAGTGCTAAGGCAACCTCTTCCTTGGAATACTTTGCCCTTCTCAGTAAGACCTAGGTAATTGTCTAGACTGACTGCAGTATCATATTATGTTAAAATAAGATCCTCTGTTGCTGTCTTTCTCCTACCATCCTTTGAGGCCTCAGATCAGAAACAAAGAAAGGAAAGCAGAAAACACAAATGGGTTCTGCAAGCTAAGTAGAGTAGGCAGCCCCTGTGTATGGTAATAAGGATAATTTATAACTTCCTAAAAGGATTATTTAGTAGATTTCATAGTGCATACATAAATAACAATTATATTTCTCTTAATTTGTGTTGTAAAATAATTACATGTATTTTAGATCTAGAGTCAGCTTTTTATCTGCTGTGCAATTCTAGAGTAAATCTATGGAGTCGGTGTTTTTACTAATGTTTAACCTAAAGGAAAAGGTTTGGAAATGCAGTGGGCACATTTTTACTTAGATTGGGTTGGAGAGGTGAGAAGTTGTTGTCAGTGCTTTAATCAACAAACCGAGCTCTTTGAGAGTCAAGAGCTGAGGAACAACATTGATGTAACATTAGAATCTGTCACACAATATTGAATTTATTCAACTGTTATCCTTTTAATTGCAAGTATTTCCATTAATTGCTGTAGAAATTCATCACCCTGACCTGGCTGAGCTCCAGAAAAAAGCATGGAAACTAATTAAACATTGAGTTTTAAGGTAAAATAGTAAATTGCTCATTAGCCCCCTTGAAATGCTGATTTATTACTAACAGAACAAAGTAATACTTGACTTTGCAGAAACTAGGTCATCACATTCTTTCGTAGTCTCACTGAAGGTGCTGTAGCTTAGACATCAGTTAATTGGTCTTCATTTTTTTGCAGCAGTACACTTGTTTGGTTTAACCTGGCAACTACAACCTGTGGAAGGGCAACTCTATGAAAATGGAGTTAGCAAAGGAAATAAAGGAACAGAATCCATGGATACTACTTACTCACCAATTGGAGGAAAAGTTTCTGATAAAACAGAAAAAAAAGGTATGTGTGAATGAGAAGACAGAAGATGATGAATAGTTAAACATTGCTACTGTTCAGATTCTGTATTTGCTACATTTTGACAGTATTTTGAGTTGAGGTTCTATCTTCTTTAGTATATTTTTAAAATGGGTATGAAAAGTTCATAACCAGATCGTTTCCATTAGCAGAACTCTCACTGAAATTAGCAACCAACTCAGACCATTAGGAAAGGAAGGTTCAGTAGCACAGTAATTACCCTTCTTTTGTGAGAGAAGTGAGAGCATTTGGCTTCTGTCTTAAGACAGGGGAGGGGAGACCATATTTACCTTGTTCTTGCTTGTGCAGAGGTCTTCATACTATGCCTGTCTTGCAGACCAAAGTCAATCTCAGACAGAGTGAAACCCTTTGTACTGACAGGTCAGAATGTGCAGAGGGGTAGAAATCTTAATGCTTTTCAAGTCATGCAGTTCTTGAAGGCGTAAGCTAAAATGCGGCATCCTGTCACATCCCAGCTGAGCCAGTCACAGGGAATCAGCTCACAGGAATCTACCATGGCTTCACAAAACGCCTGAGCCAGTCTGGCAGCTCCCTGCTGCCAGGGGCACAGCCCCACTCTGTCCTCCTGCCTCCCTCTGTGGCTCCACACATCCCTGTGCCCACTGCAGGGATTGTCTCATGCGTCACCAAGACACATCAGTTCCCTGTGGCAGCAGAAAACAGCTTTGTTAGAGAATGCAGGTAATCTTGTGCCATGGAAGTGGCTGAACCAGACCTCTTGAAGGGGCAAAGAAGTACCAGAGCTGGGATAGGAAGGGAGTGGACAGTGCAGCCAGGAGGATGAAACAGAGAGGAGTGTCTGAGATGTGCAAACCCAGTCTTCATAAAAATTTTCCCTGTGGATGCAGTGAAAGGCAGCTTTTGGAAACAGGCAACTGCTTTCCCTACAGCAGGATACCACCAAAAGTTGATGCTTTTTCTGTAAACTTAAAGCCTCTGATGTGATTTCACAAGGATAAATAACTGCTGTCAGATACTGTGGCCTCCCATTTTCCCAACTCAATGCAGCAGCACAGAAGGCTTTTCCAGACTTTGAAAGCATATATTTTAACTAATCTTTTAATGAAAATCAGGTTTGCAAACCAGCAAGTCAGATTTCTTCAAGAAGTCACTTTATAACACACTGACCCACGGCTATGAGTTAACATTTTAATATGTAGTAATGTGATTAAAAAGTCAGACATCCTATTGATGCTGGTATTTACCAGGGGAGTACAAGGAGATTGATTGTTTCAGGATCAGTAATAATCAGCATACGGGTATGTTCTTGTAAAGGTAATTGGCACCACGCTGTTTGGAGTTTTTCTTTCTTGAAGCCAAGAGAAACCTGTGAATAGAAATCTATCTTCTGTTTCAGACTTCCAAGGAAAGTGTGCTTAGAAAGAATAGAGAAGAATTAATACCAATTGGCAATATTGGGAGCTGTACAAGGAACTGAATATAGATAATTAAATGATACTTTGTCATAAGAAACAAAGAGCAGAATTGTATTGCAGCCCTGTAATTTTAAAAGCTTATTTTTGACTTTTTCAAGAAAGAGCAAGGAAGTACATGAGGATAGTCTGTGAAGAGTGTATCTTCAGATGCCTTTTTTGTCCAGCCAAATACTTACTTAATTCAACTAAGCACAGAAACAGAGCCAAATTCTTTTTCTGTAAAGAAGGCACAGTGGCTCAGTGAATATGAAAACATGCACTTCAGGCATGGCTTCTACGGTGGCCTTTCCATGCTGTGTGGTTGTCTGAAAAATTAGCATTTGAAAAGGTAGAGATACTTCAACTGCATCCTATCAGTTAGTGGTAGATAGTATATAGATTTTCCTGTTAGCATTATCAATAGCAGCATACACTTCTTTTCCATGTGATGAGATAAGTTGACATATAAGTGCATCTGGTTTTTTTAAAGTTTAGATAAAATTGTTTCTAAAGCAAAGGTATTTTCAGCCAAATGTGAAAAAGTCTGATGCCTTGTTTTGAGCCTAGAAACACTAACATGATATTCAGCATAATTTGATAACATCAGTTAGTGAAAATTCACCCAGACTAAAGATGTATTGCTTCTTATTTTCAACAAAAAAACCAGACCTTTTCACTTCAAGAAAATAAGAAGCAGTTACTGTATTTTAAAGACCTTGAACACCGACCAATAATGCCATTAACTTCAAAAATGATACTGTATCCTTGACTTTTTACTTAGCTCTACCATCTTGTAATTGTTTCACATTAATTACCATGTGTCAATAACTCCAAAAAGTTCCTTAGTGTTTTACTTAACCCCAGGTAATTGCTTGCAAAGAATCATTAAGATTTAATATCTCTGGAGTACTGGAAATACAGGAAAAGGTTTGTAAATTTACACAAGCCTAGTAGGATCTTTTATGAGATGGAGTGGGAAGGGATCCACTTTCATTGTCTAGCATAGAAAGTTTAATTCTCTTCTCAAACCTCAACATTCAAGATTTTTTCCATTAAGCAAACTGGGGAGTAGTCTCACCTTGAACATTGTTAAAGCAGCAATTTGGAAATATTTTAACTCACAAACTAAGGGGTGTATTTTCACGGTATTAGATTACAAGTTCTGTACACTAAAAATAGACGGTTTTAAGTGATGAGGTGTTAAAAGGTAGCTCCTAGTTCTTGCTGTAGGTTTGGTGACACAAAGCAGCCATGAAGCTGAAAGATCCAGTACCCTGGGAATTGCTCCTGCCTTGTAAATTAAATCTCTATTCATTAAGAATGCTAAGTACTTCCTACGCTAGTTAAAGCCTCTGTAAGGTCCCACTGAGGGTCTTTGTTATTAACACGTTCAGGAAAAGCTGGCCCTGGCTTTGCTGCTGCTGTTTAAATTTCCAGTGCCGATTTATAAAATTTTACATACATTATGTTGGATTAGAAATTTATATACATTATTGTAAAAGCTGAGAGTCCAGTCACTTTGCTCCTCAGTATTTTTCACTGTGATACTGGAATGAAATGAAACATAAATGGGTAAGGCTGCTGAATTCAATCTTCTCTTAACTCGTCCTCCGATGGCACATACAATCCTGCTTTTATTCTAGTTGAGAGAAAGGATGGAAATGTCAGAGTTTTACAAACCTTTCAGTGGAATTAGCTCAAATGTTAGCAGGATTGGGTCTGTGATGTGCAGCATGTCACAATGCTGATCACAGACAGGCATTAAAAAACACAAAGTTGGTGATATAAGCCAACAAAGCAAGCCAGCTCCAATTTAGTTTGGCAAAGTCTTCTTTCTGCATTCCATTTCCCTTTCTGTTTCAGCTCTCTCATACCCGTGTGTGAAGTTACATATTGTAGATGTCTGCAAATTTATTGTTCAGCATTATGAAATAATGCCAGCTTTCTCTTCAGAGTGCCTGTCCCTGTCCTCATGCCCCTATTGCGTTTTCATGCAGAAAGACCAAGCCAGAACAGATGTTCTTTATTTCTCCAGGACTAGATTATCACTACCATAATAAAACCATTAGGCATGGTGATTAATAGAAATCTAGGCTTTGCACATAGGCTCTGAACTACTGGGTTTGATGGATTTTCTGTCCTCAGTGGGGTCCATTTGTGTAGCTTATGCAATGCCCCTTCAGCAGCAGTCTGAAATAGGTGTCAGAGGAGGAATGTCCCACTGCCTTCTCTCTGTGTTCACAGTTGAATGTGTTTTGTTTCTATAGCTGATAGGTAAAGACCATGGTTTATGCAGCAGCAGTTCCACCTTTTCATATTCAGTGCAGTGTTCCAAGATTTCTAGGGCAAAAATGCCCCATGACACCTGTTGTTGGAAACATTGCATGCAGGTTTATTTGTATTTTCCAACATGTTCAGTAAAAAACGCAGTTATTCCAGCAAAATGCCCTCTGTTTAGAGATTGGTTTTGTTATATTCTATTATATATCTAAGGCCCATTTATACCTTGTGACCTGTTATCTTCCACCCTCCATGAATACACAACTGACTGTTTTGTTTGTTTCTGGAAAATCAGTGTTTCAGAAGGGCCGGGCCATAGACACAGGAGAAGTAGAGATTGGAGCACAAGTTATGCAGACCATCCCCCCTGGTTTATTCTGGCGCTTCCAAATTACTATACATCACCCAGTGTACCTGAAATTTAACATCTCACTGGCGAAGGATTCTCTGCTGGGAATTTATGGCAGAAGAAACATCCCACCTACTCATACGCAGGTAATTTGAAATAATCCTGCTTCTGCCATGCTTACATTTTCAAGCAGCAGCGGATGTGAATGTTCACAATACGTTTTCAAAGCAGGGAGGGAGGAAGAGACTGGCTGTAGCCACAAAAAGCAGTCTGGTAATCCCTGTCTTTTGCTGAGCTCTAGCTCTGTGCTCAAACCATCCCCTCTCGGGGGAAGGAACAGTGTCCTACCAGACAGATCAGCAGCTGTGGCCACAGGGATGTGACTGTCTGGGAGGCTGGACAGGTACACACCGTCCTGCTGCAGAGCTTCAGCCTCTTCTGTGCAAGGGCAGTGGGATGAAGTGCCAGATCACTTGAAAATGCTTTAATTTTTTTTTTCTGACTCCATTAAAACAAACAGATTGCATAGTCAGTATAAAGAGCTAATAGGAAAGAAAAAAGCTCTTTCTGGTTTCTAAGATGATGATGATGGGGGTTTTTGAGTGCTTACTCCTGGGGATTTTGCAGGAGAAAACCTAGCTAATGTTAAAATAAATAAATATTACTTATGCAATATTGCTGGTCACATGCAATTTTTTTTATAGACTTACTGTATTTGGCATATGAAGCTGTCATTTCTATAGGTAATAGATTTTTCATCTTTCTTTATAACAGGATCACACTCCATAGAGTGTGATAAGTATACATGGAATAATGGAAAAATCTAAGGGTCCTCTGGAGGTCATCTACTCTGACCTCAGAAATTATTTACTAGAGGTTTGGTATTAGAAATAAGCACTTTTAGCAGTCATTGACTTTAATTGGAGCTGGATCCTCAGTTGATCTGACATTGAACTTTACTAAAAATCAGAATGCCTAAAAACCCTAGAGAAATATAAACTTTTCTTGAACAGGGATTCGTAGAAAGGTTTACATCTCTGATGCTTTGAGGTTAACAGGTCTTAAAGTTGTCAACATTAAGCCAGTTAGGTATTAAGAACTTCCATGTAAAAAATATATACTTATTTGTATTAATAAAATTAAATATAAATAAAAAGTATATTTAGGTTTTGATATATGATATCGATAGTAAGGGGCAAAGATATAAAAATCTGGTATAGAACAATAGGTTCTTTAATCTGTTCTTGGCATTTGAGTTGAATAGCTGCATAACATGGGGACTACAGCTTGGGAATTTTGGAATTATTCCCGTTAAAGAGATGTAATTTTTGGAGTAAATCTGCTGTATTTGGTGCAGCAAGTCTGAATTTACCCTGCCACAGCAAACAGCAAGTTTTGATGCCAGATTTCTGACCTACCATAATGCTTTTTATGTGTAACCTGAAGCTGAACAGACTGGGTTATGCAACTGCTGTCCACATTGGTGAATCCTTAGGCAATTCCTCGTAAGATTTCAACTGTTTATTCCTGTTTGAAGGAGACATGCAGAGAAGATTCATGAATATTTGCTAGCTGCTTAATTTTTGCTCATTATTATTTCAGTTTGATTTTGTAAAACTGATGGATGGAAAACAGTTAATTAAACAGGATCCAAAAAACTCAGAGGAGCCTCAGCAAGCTCCCAGGAACCTGATCTTAACTTCACTGCAAGAGACAGGTTTCATCGAGTACATGGATCAAGGAGCTTGGCACATGGCTTTCTACAATGATGGAAAGAAAGTGGAGCAAGTGTTTGTACTAACTACAGCAATTGGTAAGAACAAATACAGTAAAATTGTTATTCTGCTTATTACGTTGGAAAGATGCATTTGAAAATTATTGACCTTAGTTCCAACTTCTTTTAAGTATTGTCTTAAACATGTTTTATTTCAGATTAGTTTAATTCACCTCAGTGGAGCAACTTCATGTTTAAACCAATATTAGACAAATAGCAACATTTGTATATTTAAGATGGATGTTATCAAATTAATTAAGTGTGAAGTTTTTCTGTGTTAAGATTTTTATGTGATAGCTTAAATGCTTGAGTAACTTCTGATATTATCTTGTTCAAAATAAAAGAGATTATATCTGCCCTCTCTACTTACATGGGAACCATAAATTCTACAAAAATTATCCAGGCTTTAAGTTTTTATTTCCAGTATTTGAGTCAGTTAGAAGTTAGAAAATCTAAAAGGTGGCTTTTGTGGATTTTGGTTTGTGGTTTGGTTGCGTTGTTTTATCCAGTTATTCAAATGCACCATTTTGTTTGGAACACAGAGGGCAAATACAGGAGGCAGTGTCCTGATTGCATATCAGATTCCTACTGCCTTTTTAACACATATAGGTGGAAAAGTGTTTGCAGAGGTAGGTGAGTGAGCAGTCCTCACACGTAGAGCTTTTTCAGAATTTAAATTTAGGTAAAGTGTTGTATTTATGACAGTCTCGGTTTGCTGCAAGACTTTAACCACTATACCCTTTAGTTAACCTGTTCTACCATATGTTTAGCAAGATGTCTTTACTAGTAATGGACATGCCATCTGCTCTACAGAAAAAGTGGATACTATTTTTACTTTGTGGTGAACACCTTGCAGAGCAGGACAGTATGATTCAAATAACAAGATTCTGAAGGACTTATAGAAGAAGAAAATTAGAAATTGAGATGGAGTTTTAATGGCTGGTTCTGGTATAAAAGTTCATATCTGCTCTGTTCAGGAAAGTGAATCTTTCGCAAGCAAGAAAATATGCCATTATTCAATGCCATATGAGAAAATAATATTCAAGTGATTTGTGAAGCATAGTTGCAGATTCTGTACAAAGATTATAAAACCTGGCCAAACTCCAGCCCAGATCGGAATCCGAATTCCTGCCCCCTTGTTTATTTCTGCTGTAAGATAGCAGTGTTTATACAGGGGGGTTTCATTTAGTAGCATAAGCTCTCTCAAAAAAAAAAGATGAAATTAATTGCTGCAGTTTAGTTCTTGTTGTAGTTGGTAAAAAGGAAGTTGTCCATCCCCTTATGTGGCCAACAGGCAGAACAAACTGTGTGTTAAAGAGGAAAGCATGTTAGACACAGTGCAGGCAGGAATCCTTATATTTCATCTTCAAAATGGCTGCAAGAAGACATTTTTGGGAAAAAGACTGTTCATGCTGCAGCAAGAATCTGTTGCAGATGCATTTGAAAACAGTGCTAGCTATTTTGTTTTCATTACCTGGGTATCTACTTCTCCTGGGTTTCTGCACAAAACGGTTCCTGGCTGTCTCTCTGGGGGTTTCCAAAAACAAAAATAAAAATCCTTGAGCCATACTTCTTACCCAGATTGGGCTGGTGTCATATTTGACATCTCTGCTGACAAAGGAATCAGCCAGGACCAGAAACACTCAGACTAGAGCAAGAGCTTGGATGCATCTCTGCTGTGTGCTACTGTGAACCAGTCATGCCCTCCTCATCAGCGTCTGCTAGGTAGTATTTCAAGATGCTCAGTGTTAGTTATGTACAAAATTGATTTTGCTGACACTTTAGCTAAAGCTCGGATCAGACTTTCCCTTGAGGAGGGTGATTTGCATACAAAATGTAGCATGCCTCAAGTTTTGTTAGCTAAATAAAGGGCAGCCCAGACTGGACATTGCACTGAGGGGAAGTAACTTCTCAAACCATTAATTCTTTATTTCAGGTCAATGTAGGGATCATTTACCATGTGATTCCGGAAAACTGAGAAGGCAGGCAGGAGCACACACAGAGCAAGAGAAGAGTTGATAATGAACAGCAGTATGAAAAATTAATAACAAGCAGCATACCTGTGAAAAAACTTACCTCTAAAAATGAGCTGTTTTTTGACTTTGAAACAGACATCTGTGTCCAGGTTATGGGTATCTGATGAATAGATACATATCAAGTATCTCTTCTTTAATTTAAACGATAGCCCGAATAACAGTAGGCAAATAACAGTAGGCATTTTCAAGACGTACCAATCCTTATCTGTCCAAGTGCCCATAAATAAGATCAAAATACAGTTATTTCATTTATGTTTATTAGTTGTAGGATCTGCTTATAATGCATCATTTGACAATGTTTGAGTTTAAAAGCATAGCAGATTAAATATTCCAATGGTACACTCTTTCTTGAGAAAGCTTTTCCTCCCAAATCACTTGCTGTGGACAGATACTCTTAAAAAGGAGCTGGGGTTTTTTCTTTTTCCTCAACAGTTGTTATTTTGTGACAAAGGAGCCCTGTCTCCCATTTTCCTATAGTCAGAGGTACCTCCCACATCTGTTAGTGCACCTGCCCGTGTAACAGTCACAGTCCCCTCCTCTCCCATCCTGCACAGCACCTGCGTGGGCTGCAGAGCCCCTCAGTCCTAGAGCTGACCTGACAGTGACCTGCTCCGTGCAGGATCATCTTAGCTTGAATTTACTTCATATTCTTTATTCAAACCCCATATAAATCAGTGAATCTACTGCTTTCCTGTAGGAAATACCGGTGTAAATTAAAACCTGCTAATCCATGTACAGATATGAGCCTGTCCTCAGATGTGTGAGGTTAAGTGGCTTGCTATCCGGAGCTGTGTGATAAAATGTAGGCAAGTTTAAGATCAGAACTGAAGGTGGTTTTTTTCCTTCAAATCTAGTTCTTAGTCCTTTATTGCATTGAATTTCATCACCGTACACAAGACTGGTTTTTTGTTTATCTGATTGTATAGAAGTGGAAATCCTGCCCTTCTCCAAGGGATTCAATTCACATGGTTCAAATGAACACCTTAGAAGGCAATTTACTCTATAAACAGGTTTCAAACAAATTACTTCAGCAATAAAAGAAAGGGTTTAAGATGGACATTTTTCAACAAATACTCAGGATCCTGCAGTGCTTTTAATGGTGGTAAATTTTACATGAACACTTACTTTAAAAGCTTTTTGGTGTAATATAAATGATGCACCTGTTATCTCAAAGCTGTCAGGACAAAATCTAATAAATATTTGTAAGCTGCTTGAACAGGAATTTTGTTTTATGCTCCCTATGAATGAAAATGGGCTTTTTACTGCTTCTGCACCTATTTGTATGTTGAGATGTGTCCTGCAGAGTGAGGTGAAGATGCCATTCATTTCAAATTCAACCAATTTCTGTTTTTCTTTGTGCACAATTTTCTGAATAAATAGAAATCCTGGATGACTGCTCTACTAATTGTAATGGGAACGGAGAATGTATCTCAGGGCACTGCCACTGTTTCCCGGGATTCCTTGGTCCTGATTGTGCAAAAGGTAATCTCAAATTAACAGACCCACAGTGCATGACAGGGATCATGATTATGGTGTGTGACTGCTGGGCTTGCAAAGATTCAAAGTGATTAAAGGAGATTAAATTCCTTTTTCCAGCCAGATGGCAGATACAGTATAAGCACACATGTGGAAAGTTTCTTGATGCTGTACTTGAGTTAACATGCATCAACCACTTCTCCCTCCCTGACTTTCAGAGTTAATAAGTTCCTCCATCCCTCTTTGCATCCTCTCCATAATTGTAAAATACATTTTTTATTAAGTGTGTTAGCTTTGCATAATGTTTTCTGTTATTTAAAAGTGACAAACAGTTTCACTCTGGAGAAAACATAAGTAAATCAAAAGCTTCTATGGTTTTAACTTGAATAGAGTGTAGATAAGAAACCTAAAGCAGCTTACAGACAGTTTTCCAGCATTAAGGCAAAAAACATGTTAAGTGACCTTATTTCTTTTTCAGATATTTCTGTCGGTATTATCCATCATCTGCTGCATATGATGTCCAGAAGTTCTCATGTTTTTCCAATGTCTCCTCAAATGTAGGGTTGCCTTTATTTTTTTTTTTTTTAAGACCTCGATTGGCTCAGAAATAGATACTGGATTGTAAAACTAAGATTCCACATTGCTGGTTTACATACAGATTAGTAATGGCTAAAACCTCAGTAACATCAAGTCTTAGAAGGAAAAAGGGCAGGATCATGCTTCAGTACACAGGAAAGAAATATTAATCTTACTGAAAATCATAAGCAGGCATCACTGCAAGTTTTCTGCAGAGGCCAATCAAGGGGAGAGAATTATTTTTTTCTTTTAAGATATCCCATTTCAGGTCAAAATTAAGGTATACAAGTGAGACAGACTGAGGAGATGAGGACATTGTATTACTGCTGCACTACCTAGTTCAAAGATTTCAGTCTGTTACAACCCTTGAACCAAATGGAGGATCGAGGAGCTGGAGTGGAAAAGCAATTTTACAGAACAATAAATGCAATAAATGTTAATCTATGTAAGTATGTAAATACATTAAAAAGGTCAATCTACCTTCTTCAGATTCCTGTCCAGTGCTGTGCAGTGGAAATGGAGAATATGAGAAAGGTCACTGTGTGTGTCGAAATGGGTGGAAAGGACCAGAGTGTGATGTTCCAGAAGAGCAGTGTATTGATCCAACCTGCTTTGGCCATGGTACTTGTATCATGGGCGTCTGCATCTGTGTCCCTGGATACAAAGGAGAGATTTGTGAGCAAGGTTGGTGAAGTTTCCTTCTCTATAGCTAGGGGGGTTGATTTTTGTCTTTAATCTCCGCTCCTGTTTCAAGGTAGTTAAAAACTCACGTATGTGTGATTAGCTTTCTGTGAAGCAGTACTGACTGTTTTGCTCAAAACTACCTTTCCTTTACTGCCTCATAGAAAGTAATGTTAAAATAGAACATTTTGGAAGGTAAAGGTATTCAGGTCTCGGTAACAGTCAGTGGGATGATCACATTTTTATTCAAAAGGATAAAATTATTTATCACTGTCTAATAAGACCATCTAATATTTGTAGCATGGGCGATCCTCTGAAATACTCAGTTTCTCTTTTGGTCCAAGGGGACTATAGTTCTCGGTTGATTTCTGTTCTCCCCCTCCATTGAAGCTCAGTAGCAAGACCAGAACTGGGTGGAAGTTTTTACCAGCAGTGTGTTCTCAGTCCTCCAAAAGTTTCCTGGAAAACATCCCAGGAAGAAAGGTTTTTGTTTTTTTCTGTGAAAGTTGTGAGACTATCTTAAGTTTTTTCTCTCCGCTTTTCTTCTGTCAGGCTCCAGATACTATTTTGAGGAAGGGTGGCTGGTGTCCCCAGCCCTCCTTGCTGCCTCTAACCATGGTCCCTTAGCACACACCATCAGAGAGCCTGCCCAGGCTTTTTTACTGGGCTAAAAACTCAGGGTAAGGCAGTCAGAAGATCATTTAAACAAAATATGATGTGGTTGTTCTCCAGAGTAATCAGACGATCGTAATCAGCTTTTCCCTTTCTTCATTCTGCCACATCTTAGATTTTTCTGACAATATAAAGCCAAAAGAGCAGCAAACAGGCTCAGTTTACTAGAGCATATTGTGTAATTCTGTTGTCATATGTCATTTTTACTGGGAACCTGTGTTCAGGGTACTAAACTGGCATCCTTTAAGGCTTGGCTAATAAAAAGTGGGAAATTATGAGAACAAGTAACTGTATTTTTACTGGGTTTGGTTCTGATGTGTCTCTGCCCTCATGTATAGACAGAAGCAGTTGTTGTTTCCCTCTTAGCATGTCTGAGATAGCTCATCAGCTTTGACTTTCTTCCCCTGTGCATAGCCTTGGAAAGCAGAACTCTTCCTCATGCTTGCCCTGATTTGATGATTTTTCACTAGTCCCCTTAGCCTGAAGCTGGTGACAGCATACTTTGTGCTTCCTGCTATATAGATTTTCGGTGATTCTTTTGAGTAGCACACAGAGGAGGCTTTTTATGTGGCTTGAATTCTCTAGTCAGAAAAATGTCCAGGATGGATTTGATGGATCTGACATACCTGGAATGGTTTTTAAAGGGACAATCAAGAGAACACGTCTGACATAGTCAGTTGTTAGTAGAAAACCCAAATGGGGAAAAGCAGGTAATACACAGATTTCCTCACTGAGGCCGTGCTGCTGACAAACCTGTAGCTGGTGAGAGGCTGACTGCTGGTTTTAGTTGCTTTGTTTCTTGCCATAATGTGACACTGCAAAATGGTTAGGGAAAAAAATTGACGTAAATGTACTCAGACAGCTATTGAAAACAAGAGTGTGAAAACACTGGATTTTTATAGTAAACAACTTGTTTAAATTAAAAAAAAAAAAAGGTGAAATTATGTAGAAATATGGTGGGTGAAACAAACCTGTGTAAACCAAGTATGGTGGGTTTTTATTGTATCATTGTGTGCTTGACATGACCGTTCAGTTGGTATTGTACAACATAATTTGTGCAGTAGTGAGATAATTCTGTCATGAATTAATTGAGATTATATTATTGTATGTAAATATGATTTTAGTCTTCTAGCAGTACTGTTAACATAGCGGACATAGTAACAGATGTACTGTCCAGGGAGCACCAGTAGCTGCATGTATTCATTGCTGTGGGAGTCCTTTGAATTTGTCCTGTCAGATTATCTTTCCTAAAATGGAGTCCCTCAATTAATTTTAAAATATCAGCAAAATAAAGAGCTGTCTCAGGATTAGAGAAAATTGTCGTGTATTTTTGTCCTATGCTTAGCAAGATGTGCATTGTCCAGAAACACTGATTCCCCTCTTTCAGAATTACATGGTGCTATGCACAAGCCTGGAAGGCTGAAAAAGATAAAAAAATAAATCCTGAAATTTGATCTTGAATTGGTGGTGTAGCAGTTCAAAAGAAAAAGCATTACTTCTTTATTTTTAGGTCAAAAGGTCCTATAAACTGGAGGCCATTAATCTCTGTGTCTGAAGTATTTAGCCTTCCCTTCCTGAAGCAGAGAGCATCTCTTCATTCCCATAGCAGAGAGTACTGTTTGTTAAATTTACAATTTAATTATTGAAACAGTACTTGTGCTGATACTTGAAAAATGCATAGCAGAACTTTCACAGTGCCTCTTTACCGTCAGCCTGAAGCGTGATCTAACATGGATGGGCTGCTGGTTAATTGTTTCCCGTGCTCAGACCCCACAGATCCTGTTCAGCTCCACAGCCTTCCTGCAGCCTCCAGAGAAGGCAGGCTGCTTCCTGCTTAAAACCTGTCTTGTTAAAACAGTGCTGGGGCTTTGTGAAAGAGTATGCTGCTCATACAGGACTAACCAGCCAATTTAAATTCTTCTACAGAGCTCCTGAATTTTTCACTAGGAATAGTTTAATCCAAATTGAGAACAAATTTAGCTCTTTGTTTGCAAATTGTTCATCAGTACATTATGACTTTTATGAAGCTGTTCATTACCTGCAATTGCCCAGCACATACTTTTTATGAGTGTATGAGATTTATTTTTTTTGCAGCAAGCATAGAGTCAGAAATTCACTACTCAAGATTAACTGATGACCCTTTTTTTGTAGCAAATTTTCGGCTGTAGAGATAGCTTTCCACAGGAATATGAAAGAATAAATCTTTCTTTTCCCAGATGTAAATAAAACACAGAGCACAAATACCCAACCAGAAATACAAAGCACGATTATAGAAGTAGTTATTAATTGCTCCAGCTCTTTCCCAACCCCGCTGCTGAAGCACAGACTTCACAGACTTAGACCAATAGACCTGTCCTGGGACTCTGTGTTTTAAAAATAAGACAATATCCATGACAAGCAGATTCATATGGCCTCTAACTGTCTCCATGCTTGCTTTTTTCCTTGTTTTTGGCTTACACTTTTGCAGATGTTAACACAGACTACATTTGTTAACATAGTTTCAGTTAGGTTGCACAAAAATTACCGAATTGCTCTGAATCCCCGATGTTGTATTTCACCAGTAAATCAGCGTGAAGTTGCAAGTTTTATGCTCTAAGTTGTATATTCCCTGCTTTCCAGAGGACTGCTTGGATCCAATGTGCTCTGGCCATGGTGTGTGTGTCCAAGGGGAATGTCACTGCTCCACAGGCTGGGGCGGTGTGAACTGTGAGACTTCGCTTCCCGTGTGCCAGGAGCAGTGCTCGGGGCACGGGACTTTCCTCCTGGATGCAGGAATCTGCAGCTGTGAGCCACAGTGGACAGGGTCAGACTGCTCTACAGGTATGCTGGAGATTTTGCTGTATCAATATTGCCTGTGCTTTCTGCTGGCTTTCAGTTGCCAAGGATAAGAAATGCATTTTCCCTGTGACAAGAATGTTGTGTGCCTGATGGTGTGACAGCAAGAACAGTAGTCCAGTAAGAGTGCAAGTGCCTCCTGGCACACACTAGAGGCAAGCATGACTCTCACCTGAATTGTTGAGCACTGATCAGACTCATGCAATCCGGGAATCCCCAATTCTGAGAGAGATTTGGCGTATATAAAAAAAATTCTAAATGCAATGGCTGATGAGTAAGAAAGCTATGTCAAAAAAAATCTTAAAACAAAAATGACCATCCATTCTCTCATGCTAGGATAAAAATTCTTTCTTAGAGGACCATCAAGGTTAGATTCCCACTAAACTTGATTAAGAGTTGAAGTGGATTTCCTGTGTGCTTTGTACATTTACATTTTGTTTTCTTGAAATGAATGCACTCTGCACATTTTACTCTGTAATGGAGCGTGTCATTACCAATGTACATACTACTATTTTTTTCCCCTTTAGAGCTCACAAAGCCGAAATCTCAGATGATAAGTAGCACATCCCAGTACAGAATAGATGCAAGTGACAGATTTGCTGAATGCAGTGGAATACAACCAGTGGTCCAAGTCACCAGTTTTTCTTAGAAATCATCATTCAAAAGAGCACTTGGAACAGTATAAATTTCCGCTCAGATCTTTTAAAATGTATGGTTATGATCTTTAAGTAGGGACTTACAAAATGTCCCCCTACATGACGAATTTTTAAGCAACAAGATATTGACATGCTAATAATTCTCAGTGTTTGTTACAAAGACCCTGCATTCATTCTACACTCCAAAATTAATGCATGTAATTTTAGTCTGACACTGTCGGATATGGCACCTGCTTTGATAAGGATTGAATTTTTATTGGCTTTCAGCAAAAGACCAGTTGCTTTCATTTTGATCCTGTATTTTATTATGTGTTAAAAATATTCCATGAAGGTTAGTATAGTAGTACTTCCATTAATGTAGCAAATAATTAGGAAAGGTGTTAGCTATGTACTAAATTTTTGCTCACAAAATATGCAGACTAATTTCTGTTCTAATACGATATTGTTGTAGCTCAAAAAACGATGTTAATCTTGGAAAGGTCTGTTGTGTCAGCTGTATGGGGCAATTAGATATTAAGTAAGGGACCAAAAAACTAATAAATAACCTCCAAAGCTGTTTTGATCATTTTTTAGAAGGCAGCTTTTTTCCTTACCTCCATCAACTAGTAGGGAAAATAGCTCTCTTCATCTCTACTGTCTTCTGAGTTATCAAAGGATGGCTTTACAACCACCAGCAGTCATCTTTTTATAGCCAGATACTTCTGACTTCTCCTTTCAAATATATATTTCTTCATAGGTGTTAGACTAGAATCAGGATGGTCTTGTCAATACATTGAGTGTTAGACTGAAATATAGATGTTCATTTGTGCTTGAGATGTTCTTCCTAGGATCAGTGATTGCTGTGCATCTTGAAAATAAAGCTTGATTTTAGTGAGGAAGGAAAACATCAAATGAGTAAGTAAGAAAACATAAAAGGAGTAACAAAGTCAGAATAAACAAGCTGTCATATGTGAATGGAAAAAGTCATGAGGTTCTGTACTATGAAGAGGATGAAAAGGGTAAACCACAGACTGCTCATCTGGAATCAAACAAGGAAAGCTTGCAGCTGATAGACGAGCAGTCTCTCAGCCTGCCTCAAACCCTTGCACTTTCCTGCCATCTCTGTACCACATCATTGTCAGTGCTGGGAAAATTTGCCTTTCTGTATCACCTTGAAGAACACAGACTCTTGTCCTGAGGATTTCTGTGTTCCCCAGGAAATTCCATGTACTTTCAAAATAAAGGATGCATTAGTTAAAGTTCTATGTTTTTTGTAAATAGAAATGAATGTATCTTGATATACTTTAAAAGGGGGAAATAACAAAGTTTCCAGAGTGTTTTTGAATATAGTATTCCAGATCCAGTGTGACCCACCTAAAAAGGGATGAGCTATCTCTATGATACCTTCCCCTACCTGCCCATCCCTATCTCTTCAGACAATACAAACTTCCATTTCACAAGTGGAAGACTGGGGAAAGATAAAAATCAGTGTGGATATGGAGGAAGAGAGATGAAGGGTCACTGTGTGACCCATGCATATGCTGAAGTATTGCCAATATTTGGAGCTCCAGCCTGAGCTCTGGAATCATTAATGGATTTTTGAGGCTTGAAAAGACCATGTTGTTCATGCTGTTTGATTTTCTGTAGAACATTATAAAAAAAAGAATTCATCCTTCAGTTTTTGTTTGACACTCATAGTTTCTGTTTAGTGTTTTCAAATTCAAGCTTCACACAAAGACCAAAAATGAAGGATAGTCTACCATGCCCTAAGTAAATTGTTTCAATTATTCCTGCACTCTCTGCTAAAAAGTGCACCTTCCAGTCCCAGTATGAATAGGTGCAAAGTCTTGCAATTGTGTTTCTGTGAGGTGAAAGACTGTCAAATTATCTGTAGTCCTTCCAAATGTCCACTCCATCTCTGCTCTGACCTGTGGACTGCCAAAACTTAATTTCAGTGCATCACTTCAGGATACTCCTCCTAAATCCAAAGTTCCTGCTGGCCAGTTGCCATCCCCTGAGGGCCAGAAAATCCTCTTGCAGAACTCCAAAGCAGCTGTTAGGATATGTTTTCATTGAAGTGTTTGAATTGGTTCTCAATAAAAGCAGCTCAATATGGCTTGAAAGTCATTCAGATACTTAGTAATGCTAATCCTGCACTACTTGTAGGACACAACTTATGATGACTTTTTATTCAGCTCTGTTAAGATCCATCCTTTCAATATCCTTAGCTGGATATCTGTTTCAGACATATTTGGCCTCTTTCTACCCTACAATATTGAACTTCCATGAAAAGTCATTTTCTTTTGTTAGCTCAGATTTCAATTTACCTCTCCCAGGGATGACATGGTTTTCATTCAGGCTTTGCCTTGCTGCTTATGCACCTCTTTGTAAAGGCCGTTCCTCTCAGCTAACGTTCAAACATACAGATAATATGCTTCTGATTCTTCTGCCTTCTTTAGGCAACATCAACTGAATTTCACTTGGAAAATATTGGCAGATTTTTAGCTACACCAATCAAAACAACATTGATGGGTGTCTTTTCTACGGCCATATGTGACATCAGGAGAAGAAATTAAAAAAGCACCTTCCGTTAGTACCTAAAATTTGGTTTGTTGTATGGACAAGATCAAAGTGTTTTAATTGTTCTGTGTGATTATAGACTGACATGTATTTACCATGACAGAGATGGATTAGCCTGTTTTGCCAATTTTCCAACTGGCTCGAATGCTGAAGGTCAAAAGCAAGCTATGACTTTCACTGCTTCAAAATTATACCAATGTCAGAAATTTTTAGAGAAGCAGCATGGAGTTATTCCAGTAGCTTTCAAGTGGTGCACCTGGGATACCACTGTTATAATTCCAGTTGCAATGGCCTAGGCAGACATTGCTTGCTGCCTTATCTGTGGTATAGTCTATGTTGAAATATACATCTTCTCCCTACAGTAACTTTATTTCTTTAAGTTTTTTTACTAACTGTCCCTTGAATAGTTATCTGTTCTGCTGTCTGCAGTCTTCTTTGGACCGTATGAGGAATGAGGAGAGTTCTGTCCACTTTTGCCTAAAAGTTAGAGAGGCAGAGCCATTAGGGTTAAGCTAAGCTAATCTCAGGCAGATGTCCACAGCCATCTCTGAGAAGAGCTGTCTTTCCTCCACTTGGATTCCCAAAGTTTTTCCAAGACAAAAAGAAACAGCACCAGCACTGCTTACAGTTCCACATTGTCCAAGATGTTGGCCGCTAGTCCCACCAACCATACAGCAAATAGGTCATCTTTAAATATTGAAATGGCTTTGGCTTACACTAAAAAAAAAAAAATAAATATGAGTATTCTGTGTTCAAACTAGTTCCTTACTATCTTGTTTATCACTTTGCCCATTTAATTCTAGTTTTTCCTAGTTTGTTCATCCTTGTGTGAGTCACACAAAAATGCTCAAAGACATTTATCCCTTACCAGTTTAGCCATCTGACAGTGGGTGTGCCCAAGAGAAATGCACAAGGTATTGGGCTCCACTTCTCATTTAGTCTCCCTCCGCCTCTACAAGATGTGGATAGAGAACAGGAATTTCAGGCTATGCTCTAAGTGAGACTGATTGTATAACATGTTTTGTGAAAACCACCTGTACTGCAAAAGGTCGTCCTTGGAGTGTTTCAGAGTCTCAGCATCTTTACACCAGCTGAATCCAGTTATGGTAGTATGTGAAAATCCACTATTAGTCAGACCTTGAACACAGAGCTCAGCTGACCTGTGCAGTATGGGCGTGATTTACGGCATATGTGACACAGCCAGTAGGATGGAAGACTGACAGTACACTATTTTAATGTCACCAGGACTTCAGAATAGTCAACTTTCTACTTTCTGTCTGTGCATCTTTGTTGCTTTATTTATAGGCTGTCATTCAAAATCCCTTGATGTTAATGAGTCATCTCCCTTTGAGGCATATAGGCAGTGCTTTTCAGAAAGAAAAAATCAAACTCGTGAGTACTGACTGTTCATGTCAGGTAGAAGGGAAGCTCTGGATAATTGAAGGTGCAGCATCAACAAACTGAACAAAAAAACTCATCTTCTGTTCTCAGATTGACAACTTTAACATGGAGGCTTGAGATTAAATATCAAGAGAAAATGGATGACAGAGTTGTTCAGGGGGGCAGAGCCTTAACTAGCATAAATTAGTGTAACTGCAGTGATACCACCAGTGCAATCCCAGTGTGTTTCAGGTGAGAATCCAGCCCTGAGTCACTAATTAATTGAAGCACTGAAATATTATAGACTGAGAAATCTGTGGCAGAGCTGATGCCTCTGACATCTTGTCCTGCATTCGTTTCTCTAGACTCTATTCAGCCAAAGTAGGCCAG